CCCACTATCTCATCTTTTTGAGGTGACGGGTGTTCTCAAACACTTAAAAACAAGTGCACAAACGCCCAACATCCCTACTCCGCCTATCATATATGCTACCTCCCTCCCTGCCCACCAAAACAACGTACAAAAGACAACCGGGCCTGACGCCCTCCCTGCCTGGCCCCAACTCCTCAGCCTGCCCAAAAACACACCTCGCTCACCCTCGCTAGCCTCTAGGCTTCCCAGACTATTCAAGCCTGTGACCACTGTGGCACTGGTGACTGCCAGCAGGCATCCGGCGCCGTATAGACCTGATACGGTAGAGACACGCGATAAGATGAAGAAAGAGAGAGCGCAGGCAGTGACGCCAATGCGGACGGTTAGTAGTGGGGGAAGGCGGCGAACTAACGTGGATTGGAGGAGGGAGGCGAGGAGGCCCATGACGGAGAGGAGACGACCATTTTGGGCAGAAGGGGAATCAAAAGACTTCGTGGATGCGTAGAGAGTGGTAGTTAAGAAAGGAAGTGAGAATTCAAGGCCGGAGAAAGGGAGGAGGAAGAGGAAGTGGGTTAGGTTTAGGAGGATTGGGGGGTTGGTGTAGTTTTTTGGCGTTGCCGTGACTTTGATAGTAGTAGATGGTTTCTGCTTCGCTTTTAGATTATGCTCGTCCAATTTGTCACCAACAGGAGTCGCAACAGCTGGAGTAGAGGCAGAAGAATGTACATCCTTCCGAATTTTCGCAAATCGCGGATGCGTTTCCGGCAGACAGAAGTATAGATAGACCGTCTCCACTACAATAAGGAGTAACGAGCAGCCCGCCGCAGTCGCGAACGGATTTTCTGTCACGGTGGTAATCCCCGCCAACGCGGCTCCCATCGCCGGCCCAAACGTAAATGCAACACTAAAACACACGCCCACAAGTGCCATTGTCGCGCCCCTCTGTCCCTCGTCGCTGATATCCGTCCGCAAATAGCCATTAGCAATCCCGCGCTTTCCCCTTCATTGAAGACCTCCGGATTATCGACCACCCAGGAACGTCCGTAAAGTCCCGTCGCAGCTAGCCCCCAGGCGCGACAACTGGGGATGTTACCCCCCCATAGAGCAAAGGGAGAGCCGGTGCGTCGTCCCAGGGCTGTCAGATAGGCGGCCGATGAAGGGGGGCCGCAATGGCTTGGAGGAGGGAGAAGAGAGAACCCAAGGCTCCGCCGAGGGAGGGACGATGTCGTAGCGCGAGTTGATGGGACGAGCAAAGGAATTTTTGTACGCATTTAGGTAATGCAGGATACGATGGAGAAGGGAGGTTGGTGAAGGGTCGCGGTTCAAGTAGAAGGTTAGGAGAGAGGGGAAGAGGGGGAGGATGAAAGTGAAGGAGACCTGGAGAAGAAGTCTTCGGTGTTAAGGTCTGCTTTTGCGGCTGACTGAGGTGAAGGATCCTAGGGAAAGATTTGGAAATCCACGTACCAAGTCAAGGAGGAGGGATATAAAGAGGACTTTAAGGATCTGTTTGCGCCGTGATGGGCTGACGGTGGTTGTCCCCATAGTTGGAAATAATCCCACCACAACCAAGGACAAGCGGAAGGAATTAGAGGAAGGATTTCAGGACATCCTACGAAAAAAAAGTTAAAGTAAAAAGATACAGATAATTGACGAGCTCCTAAAGAATGACGCCTCGAACGGCTGGAGAAAAGGAGAAGATGCAGCTTGTAGGAAGTGAATTGGCAGCAGAAGCAGGGATGTTGGCGGAAGAAGCAACACGGAGCTTGGGTTTTGGATGTCGCAGGCACGTGGTGGAGGACAGCCCTAATTGGTTTCACCATGCTACATTACTCGTAGTTTGAGTCTCATAACTACTCCGTATGCATATTACAATGGCGCAGGTTGCACGGAGTAAATAAGAGCCTGTTTTTTGCAATGCTTTACGGGCGTATGGAACTCGTGAAAGACCCCGAGTCAAACTCGCATTATCATCTTCTTACTATAACAACCAATATCAACCCCGGTTTGCAACCCATATGCTCCGAGCCTGCACTAATTCAGCGACAAAAGCGAAAAAAGAAGACATAGAATCTGCCAAAATCTCCCTCACGTAGAAGGAAGCAGAGAAGGCGGAAAGTCTGCCAGGTAGTAAGTAGTATGCCAAATTCGCCAAATTCCAAATTCCAGATGCGACAAACAGAAGCACCGGCAGGAATCAAAACCAAACCGTCGCCCCACCATCCCATTCGCAGCATTGTGCACTCGTGGGAAAGGAAACATGAGGCAAAGTAAAACCTTTGCAGAGGGGTTTTAAATACCCATCACTACGCGGCACCTGTCGCTAAATTCGTCTCACAACACAAACACACTCTCTTGCTTTCGTGAGGTTCTGGGAGGTAAAAAAAAAGCTCAAGCACAAAAAAGGAGGAGAGGATAAAACTACAGTAAAGGGTGGGGTCAGATGGGAAAATGATATAGGCAAGACGACGAAAAGAGGATAAGTCAACTGCTAGCATGTAACGCTGGAGATACATGGGGCACCTCTTCTTTTCCAAGACAAAAATAAGAACGGGAGGGTATGGGAAATTGAAGGAGAAAAATGTAAAAGCAAAACAAAACACACAAAAGAAAAGAAAAGAAAAGAATAAGAGGCAAGACCCATGAATACCTAATGCACGCTTGGAAAGGGACCAAAATCAAAGGAAAAAGTTTCAGTGAGAATAAATCGCAAGCGCTGTGGATTTGTTTTAGTTTTTAAATTTCCTCTTTGCTGCTGATAAAGCCATTGAAGAATACTAGAAGCGTAGATAGCTAGGGGAGTGGTAAATATCAGAGATTTAAAGGCGGAGGGTGCTTCTTTTTTTTCCTTTCCTTCCCTGTTCTTTTTCTTATTTATTTTATTTCATCGTCCGTCTTTCAGTTTCGTTTCGTCGTCTTCGTGAATGAAGTATCGGTTTAAGTAAGGTGTTTTAGTGTATGTGGGTGTGTGTGAGGTATGTTCTCTTTTGGCCTTTTTTGTGATGAGGGCGAGAGAAGAAATGACAATGACGAGGGGCGATAGTGGGATGGATACTAGAACCAAATTGAGCGCAAAAAGAGGTTGGACTTGGAGTTCGAGAGTTGGCTATATGGTAGAGAAATCGCAATGTGCAATGTACGTCAGAAGGGAGCAAGTGGAGAGAAAGGTTGAGGTACAAAGATGATCAAGCGGTCTGTTCGGAGTCCCGAGAGAGGAAGGGGTTGAGACCTCTTCTCTCGTGGCGGGTCCGGGGAGATACCTATGCTGTGTGCTCCGCAGGAGCTGGGGCAGCATGGGACTGTTGTGGAGGTCCCTGCGCGTTATTATACCCACCACGCCCGCCACGGCCACGGTATTCACCACCACGACCACGCCCGCGCCCGCGATAGTCACCGCGATCCCCACGGAATCCTCCACGACCCCGGAACCCCTCACCACGAGGCCCACCACGGCCACGGAAACCTCTACCACGTCCACTATTTTGCCTGGCGTGGTGGCTGACGACCGGTTTGAAACCGTCATTTGGCTCTGGAGAAGCTCCACCTGCGACAGAGGTTTGCACTGGAATATCTTCAGCCCAGCTACCAGAGGTGGGGAGTGTTGGATGCACACCTTGTGTTGCTGTTGTTGTTGATGTACCTTCTACATCAGCTTTCTCGATTTCGACCCATCCCTCAGCAGTGGTCGAAGCGGACATTTTCGATCCTTGATTATCCCACCTCAGTTGAGCTCTTGGGTTTGCCGTTTCGTTGTTAACAGCGGATTGGCTTGGGGCAGAAGAAATTTCATCTGGGTGTGGGGTTCCAGAAGTTGGGAATCCGTTGGTGGTAGGGGCTTGTTGAGCAGCTAAAGGAGGCTCCTGAAGTTCAGTTAGACTGGCATTGGCGATTGTAGGATCGGTCACGACATTGGTTCCGGCAGCAGAAGCAGATTCGGACGGCTGAGTCTCCTCAGTCCACGCTTCAGTAGCAGGGGGGATATATTCCAGAGAAGCTTGTTTGACCCTCGAGTCTATTCCCTCGCCGAATTAGAATAGTAATATACAACCAGTGATACTTCAACAGGGTTACTCACATGGGACGTCGAGAGGCTCCGCATCAACACTTGGAACAATGTCATCCGTGCCGTTGATCAGTTTAACCATAGCGCTGACTGCCTCCTCTGTTCCCCCATAGACCTGGAACAACGCGCCTTCAAAAGCTCTGCTATCACTTGAAGTTTCGTCTCCAGAGCGTCTCATGGCCGCAGCAGCGCGCAAAAATTGGCTGAGCACCAGCAATCTTTGTTCGAATTCCTTTTCAACAGACTCTAATATCTCTGCAGCCACCTTTTCTTTAAGGACTTTCAACTCATCTTTGTGGGCCTTTTCTATTTCGATTTTCTGGCTGGAGAGGCGGTCTTCATAATATTGCCCGTATTGCTTGTACTGATTTATTTGCTCCTCAATTTGGAATACGGCCGCTTGCAGGGAAGGCTTCTTTAAGACTTGGGCCTTTTGGTCCGCATTGATCTTTTTCTCTGCCACTAGTTCATCGAGAGACTTGTTCGGGTTTTCCGCAATGATATTATCAACTTTGGAAGTGGCATTCTAGGGTAGGATTCGAATTAGCAATGCAGCTAGCATATATGCAAAGCAGAAACGACATACCAATTTCTTGACAGCATTCCGATGGCTCCTGCATTGAGGTGTAATAGTTAGTGCTATGTTAAGAAAAGTTTTTCTTTGAGGTAGAATGCCAAAAAGTGTACTTGTGCAGATCCTTCAAAAAGCCGGGCTCATGGGCGCCAGCCACTCCATTTGGAGCAGATTCTGTCGTAGGGGTTGCGGGATTTGGGGGATCTGTCACAGCTCCGGAGACGGTGGAAGAGTTCTCGCCCTTGGCGCGCTTCTTCTTTGCTCCCTTAGCATCAGGTTGGGGAAGGGGATTAGTGACAGCGGCAGACATGGCTGGATGGGTACGGCGGTGTCGTGTGACAGGGAAGGAAAACTGAAAAAGTTTTCCCGCAGGCGCAAGATGGAAATAACAGAGTCGCGATACAACTCGTAGGGGATTATTTGGATCAGTAGGAATAACGAAACGAAGTTAGGTGGGGAGAGAATGAGTAGAGCTTGTAGGTGCCTTGCGTGTGGAGAAAAAGAAAGAGGTTTGCGTTGACTCTTTGGCCACTGGAAGAATGCGGCAGAATTTGCTCAGCGGTGTCAGCTCGATGTCAGCCAGCGTGCTGCCCGACGCGGGACATGCATAATTTATTTTTTTTGGTAGGTAGACACAATTAATTCATTCTGTTATATTTCTGTGTTCACAACAAAGCTGTATGAGGTTGACTTTCAAAGCTGCTATTTTACCCGCTCCATACAGCGGTACGCTGCAGAGGCGAAGAAATCGATTACAAATGGCACCGAGGGGCTTCAAAGATGACTGCTGTATATAAATACATAATAAGAAGACTGCAAACTGCAAAAACGCCAATTTCGCTCGGGGTATCATTTAAAAAGTAAAAGGAAACGGAAATTCCACGCTGCTCCATCCGTAAACAAGAGATCCCAACGCCATCGCCTTCTTCGCCCTCGCCAATTCAACGGGTAATGCTTCGGGAAAACGACGAAACCACGCCTCGGGTTCATTCACCCTTTGAATTTCCTCAGGGTACCCTGATAACCCAACGGTGACCGTTATATTAGACAGGTTTAATGCTTAAATATCTAAACTCGATAGGGATTCAGAACTCACCTCGGTTACCTTTCTGACGCTTCTGGCCGAGATAACTTTCTCCCCACCTCTCCTCGCCCGGATAGAGGCCTCGCGCATCAATCTGTTAAATAAAAGTCATTTCCTTGAGCGACAGTAATTATTCTGAATACCTGTCGAGAAGGAAAATGCGGACGGGGGTCAATTCCTACTCTTGCATGAATAGCATATAGTCCAGGAATATCTGGTAAATCAATGTCAACGACAACATTAGCTAAGGGCATCCAACGACAGATCTGTAGCAAAACATAGGTATTATAATTGAGGCGCACCAAGATATCAGCGTTTTTGGATATATTGCGCTTCGAATGGGCTTTCACGATGCGCTTGACTGTTGCCCGCGGATACAATTTGGGAGTGACCACCATTGTTGTCAGCCTGAAAAGGAACAGACGCAGTGACAACAACAATTGAAATTCCTCGTGTAATAACTCTAGATATTGGATATGCTGCGCATCCAGAAGTCGTATTAAAAGAAATCTTGCCTTGCAATTGTCGATGTGATGGCAAGGAAATTAATGACTACGAGTACGAGTAATGAATGAACTTGCTCGATGGTTTTTTTGTTTACACCTTGCCAAGACATTATTATCACATGATGAGGCTCGATGATGTGACGTCATCACGGATAAAATATAGTACGGGTTACTTTGAGAGGGAATGCCCAGATGCTGGCCTCTTATTGGCTGGCCAGCATTGCCCAATCAGGAAATCTGAACCAGCCCCAGTTTCGATAGAAAACATCAGCCTTAGAACGACAACAACTGCCTCGGTCTTTGGGGTGTATGACGGTATATATATAGACTTGCTGGGGACTGTCTGTGTAACTGTTTTGAGCAGCTCGTTCAGCCACCCACTCTTCCACGTTCTTGAACCACATCCCAACGCCTTCCGTTACCTCGGCGCTGCAACCATGCGTTTCGGCCTTACTCTCAGAAAATCCATCTATCCACCTTGGAAGGACCATTACATTGACTACAAAAAGCTGAAGCTGCTGTTGCGTGAACACGAAACCAGGGACGACTCGCAGGATGGGAGTGATGATGAAAGCCCCGAATGGACGGACCAAGATGAAGAGACTTTTGTGCAGGAGTTGATCAATGTTCAGCTCGATAAGGTCAATGCCTTCCAGGTCAACACCTATAAGCAGCTGCGGGATCGGACCTCAGACTGCGAGGCCAAGTTAGAGCCTTTGGTTGTCAAAGATGATGGTTCCTATCAGCTGAAGGATGCGGATCAGAGGAGACAGACGGCTGAGAGTGCCATGAAGGATCTAGACACGATTACCGAGGAACTTAGCGAATTGGAAAAGTACAGTCGTATCAATTTCACTGGATTTCTAAAAGCTGCGAAAAAACATGATCGGAAACGAGGTACGCGCTACAAGGTAAGGCCCCTGCTTCAGGTGCGCTTGTCCCAGCTGCCGTTTAATTCAGAGGATTATTCCCCCCTTCTCTACCGTCTGTCGACTATGTACTCCTTCATCCATCAGAATCTGGGACAACGTGGCTCTAGACAGCCTACCGATGGAGGTCCCACTGTGGATACGCATCTGGGACAGGATGCATATACCTCGCATAAATTTTGGGTGCACATGGACAATGTTCTGGAAGTGAAAACGTACATTCTACGCCGCTTGCCCGTGTTAGTTTACAACCCCAGTGTGTCTGCCAGGGACCTCCAAATGACCCATAAGGATCCAACAATTACCTCTCTATATTTTGATAGCCCTAAGTTCGAACTGTATAACCAAAAGGTTGCCAAAACACCGGGGGCCAGTTCTTTGCGTCTTCGCTGGACTGGCCAATTAAGAGATCGGCCAGAGATTTTCTTGGAGAAAAAAGCCATGAGCGATGGGGATAGCAGCAAGGAAGTCAGAGTCCGCATTAAGGAGAAGCATATTGAATCGTTCTTAAAGGGAGAGTACAAAATGGAAAAAATCATCAACAGGATGGAAAGCCGTGATGTTCCCGTTTCAGACAATGCGGAGGCTCTGAGGAGGGATGTTGAAGAAATCCAATCATTTATTCGAGAGAAGAGGCTCGAGCCCGTTCTCCGAGCTACTTTTACCCGAACGGCATTCCAGATTCCGGGCGATGATAAACTTAGGATATCCCTCGACACCGACTTGGCTCTTATCAGGGAGGATTCGCTGGATTTGGAACGCCCTTGCCGAGATCCCGATAATTGGCATCGGACAGATATTGATGATAGAGAGTTGGAGTTTCCATTTTCAGAAATCCGCTCGGGTGAAATCTCTCGATTCCCTTACGCCCTCCTAGAAATCAAAGTACGAGGCGGCAACCTACGTAGGGCAAATAGGGAATGGCTGCTTGATTTGATGTCATCTCACCTCGTCAAGGACGCTCCTCGATTCTCCAAATTTGTACACGGCGTGGCAGAACTTTTTGAAGATTATGTTAACAGCTTCCCTTTTTGGTTGAGCGAGCTGGAGACAGACATCCGTCGGGACCCTGAAACCGCCTTTCAGGAGGAGCAGGAAAGAATTGCAAAACAAGCAGAAGACGAACTTGCAGTAGGAAGCTTCCTGGGAACTGGAGCTCGTTATAGCCCCTCTACCAGGCCCATGATCGGCTCTCCAGTACACAGAGTATTTTCTGTCGAATCTCCCCCCGCGGAAAGCTCTCGGTTAATCGACAGCATCCGACCCCTCTCCTCTGGATCGGAACCAATTCCCATCCAAAAACCTCGAAAACCATCCACCCCCCCTTCACTGCCACCCTCGCGCCCCTCAGGCCTACTCTCCTTCATCCCACTCACCATGTCCCGGTACGCCACCGCGCACAGGCAGCCCTCCTCATCTCCCTTACCACCAGGCGTCCGCGCGCCACGAACGTGGCTCAAGGACTCCGGCCCCGTCCGCGTCGAAGCAAAAGTGTGGCTTGCCAACCAGCGCACCTTCATAAAATGGCAGCACATATGCGTATTGCTTGCTACCCTTTCATTGGGTCTGTATAATGCCGCTTCTGTAGAAAATACAATCGCTCGTTCGCTAGCGATTGTGTACACGTGCTTCGCCATTTTTGCGGGCGGCTGGGGTTGGTGGATGTACGTGACGCGGGCGCGGTGGATTCGGGAGCGCAGTGGGCGGGATTTCGATAATGTCGTTGGACCGATGGTTGTTTGTCTGGGTTTGGCTGTAGCCCTTGCGTTGAACTTTTGGTTTAAGGTATGTTTTCATCGAAATATATATATATATTTTTCTTTGGATTATTAATTAACCATATTCAATCACAGTACAACGCGAAAGTATGGAATGAGGATGAACCTATTTCTTCTAAAGGCTCCGCTACTTCCCCGGGAAACGTTACTACACAGGATGTAGAGGATGCTTGGATGCTCGTTAACCAAGCTGCCGCTGCAGCAGGTCGAAAAGGCTTATGAAACATGTTTTCATGAACTTGGGTAGTATTGAGATTGGGCGCCGTAGGCCGGAGTAAATATGTATGAAATGTACCGCAGAGCTTGGTGGAAATTGGCCTAAATATGGAACTGGAGATCAACTGGGTAGATGAATCGATAATCGTTTGTATGGTCTGTATATGCTTGGGTGATGTACGGAAAGTACTGTATGGTAAATAGTTACAATGACTGTATGTATAGGGAAAACGAAAAAAAAAAAAAAAAAAAAAAAAAAGATATATATATATGGAATGGTGAGATGTGGAATGATATTTTCCTTTTCCTTTTCTTTTCTTTTCTCCCTTGAATGATTCATTCTTAAGCCATTTCATGCAGATGTGTTGAATTCATTTTATAATCTCCTTTGAATCTGCATTTCTATCTAAAGTGAGAGGAGAAGACAAAGCTTTTGCATTGATTCATTTGATATGCGCGCACGTTGCTGAGGAGCAGTATACATTAGTATAAGAATGAGACGAGATGGGAAAAGCATTCTTATAACAATCATCAATGACCAAAATAGAAGAGGAAAGCCTCTTGCTCTTAGGGGTGGGGAAACATTCTAGAGCAGTAAGGAACTGTTGAGAAAATGAAATAGTTATTGGGAAACAGAGAAAAGAAATCAAGAAGGGGGAAATACATTATTAGGTGCATGATGCGATTGGTGGATATCAGCAAATATCGAAAACAATAGTGAAATAGTATAGAACACACATACACACACACCTTTGTATAATTGAAGATAGAACCGATGGTGGTGAAAGGTTAAAAAGGCCCGCATTTAAAAGGCAAATAAATGGACGCCCAGAAGCCAGAAAAGCGTAAACTTGAACACCGAGCACCAAGCGAAAGAACGAAGTAACTAATTGAACAACGGAAAAGAAAAAGAAAAACAAAGACAAGAACAGACTATAGCCCGTGATCGCTAGCTACCTTCGCCGTCTCAAATTGCCAACCCGAAACCAGACTGAAAGCTGATGCAGTAATAGTAGTCTCTCGTCGCGTTGCATGCCATATACATTAGGGAATTGCATAAATAGGTAAGCAAATAGAGAATGAAATAAGAAGACACCCCACCTGAGAAATAAAATTAAAATTGAGAAATCAATAAAACATGGTGATAATCAAACGGAACCAAACTCAATCACCGTGATTCAGATAAAAAGAAGCCCTGCAAGACCTCGCATAGAAAGCGGAAAAACGAAGAGGAGAAGAAGGAGAGCAGAGACGGAGAATATGATGAAAAAAAGAGTTGAGTTGAGAAGGTGCGGGGTTGGAAGACAGAGTCGAAGCCGGCCTCCCTTCAGAAAACCAATAAAAATACATTCCCCTTTTTCTCTGCTCCGTAGCGGCGAGCCGATTGTTCGCTTGCTCCATTGGAGTAAAGGAGAAAATATAGATCAAAAGACAGACACTTAAAAGGTATGAGGGTGCGTCATCTGACTTGTTTCTCTCTGCGCCGACGTACCGAACAACGGGAATTGACGATGAAAATGCACAGCCCAGGAACCGGAATCTTTCCATTTTTGTAAAAAAAAAGGACAATCTTTAAAAAGCGCAAATTTACCATGCAAATTTGGATGAATAAAGTCATGTTCCGTGTGAATCCATCGGTCCAGCCGTAAAATGGTACATCAGAATGGACTAAAAGGGGAAATATGAGAGTTGGGAGTTTTGCGGTCGAATGGTGCCTGAACTTGAGATCCGGTGGGTGAGACGAAGGGACGGATAGCCTCTTTATACGAACGTAAGGCAAAAGGAACCCTGGAAATATAGGAGAAGCGCCAGGCCGGTTAATAATAAGATGCCTGCCGTAACTCATAGTTGGGCATGAAGTCGAACCAGTCTGTACTTGGATTGTATCTGTATGCCTTGAACTCTACGCCATATGGTTTCTAAAGAGTGGTTGGAGTTATTTTCCCAGTGGCTTAAGAATAAAAAAAGGGAGAAAAAATCAAAAACATACCGGTTCAAGCATATATAAAACACCCAACGGAACATCCAAATCGGCTAATTCCTCCCTCTTTAGTCCTCGGAAATACGCTAGCAGCACACGAGCAACAGACCGGTGGCTGACAAGCAGCACGCTATCCGTCATCCGCTCAACTTCCACAATCACTGCCTTCAGCCGGTTGATGATGTCCAGATAACCCTCTCCCCCAGGACCGGGGTAGCGATAATGTAGTTTTTGGCGCTTGCGGTTTGCATATTCCTCAGGAAACTGCTTACGGATTTCGTCATAGGTCAAGCCTTCCATCTTACCCGCGTTCAGTTCGTCGAGCATGCGCATCTGTTTGACGTCATATTCCTCGTCGTCAAAATATTGGACCGTTTGGACCGAGCGGGTAAGCATGGATGACCAGACGCAGAAATTGCGTGGCTCAGCGTTCTGCGCGGCATATTGCGGGTTGGGAGGCGTGCTGTCACCAGGGCGCGGGGGAAAATGAGTTGAGAGCGCCTTTGACTTTTGGTATTGTTCCCAGAGCTTGCGTTGCTCGCCGATGAATTTTGTCAGAGCTTTTGCGAAGCGAACGCCATTTTCGCTGAGTGGGGAATCGCCCCCGATTCTGCCGGCAACGTTATCCAGACTTTCGCCATGGCGGCAGATCCATATCTGTCGCGGGGACAAGTTGAAGTTCAGGAGGTAATACATGACTTGAGACGACAGGAAGCCGTTGACCTGATGTGCGATCACTTTGCGGCTGACATCTATTGTCTGCACGTAGGGCATGTTGTGTTTCTCTTCGTACTCCCCCAGCGCTACGTACGATTTCTCGTACAGAGCGACACGCTTTTTGAAGTCCTCTAGGGCAAGGGTGGGATCCTGGTCCCTGTAATCAGGCCCCGAAAGTTTCAGTCGCATATTTGATTCCAAGAGCTCCTTGTCAAGGCATTGACTTTCTAGGAATAGCACATTGAGTTCCGGCCCCGCTCGTGCGCGCACATGGTCCATGATTGCCTTGCGGCGCTTCAGTGTACTGTTTGTAGCATCCAGAATACCAATACTCCCGCCTTGTTCAAGAATATAGTCCAAAAGTTCGTCCAAAGTCAGCAGCGCTACCTGTTCTCTCAACTGAACAGCCCGTTCGTTGGCCGGGTCAAAAAACTGCGCAGACTGGTCTATAGATCCACCTCTCGTAGATTTCATAGGACTAGTTACAGATGTCCGAGATAGGGAAGTTGAAGATATGTTTGCCGACGCCGGTATAGATTTTGGGGATAAATAGGGCATATCACTCATGGGGCTAGGATCGCGCGTGATTATATCCTCGGGCGTTGGCGGCTCGACTGCGGTACCATTCAAAAGAATAGCCGCTGGGGGCAGAATCTCATGTTCGTTATCAATTTTAGCTGAACCGCCACCACCGATGCTGAGCTCACGCACAGAATCCCTCAACTCATCCTCGAAGATAGAATTCCGGCCCGCGGAGGGCACAGAACCCCCTGCCGCAACCCGTCGACGTTCGCCTACGTTGAAAATCTTGGTATCGTGTTGCATCCAGTTCAGGTAGCGGGCTAGTTTTTTGGTAATGTAGCTCTTGCCACGTGCTGGCAAGCCCACCATGACGATAACCAGCTTGGAGCCGACATCTCGCTGTGCAATACGTCCATCGGGAGAGACTTTAGATCTGGTCAGTCCCGGAATATCGAGGGTGGTGGCGCGATGTTTGCCAGGAGTTGAAGCGCCCGAGGAGTGAGAGCGAGCACCACTATATTCAGGGCAAACGGGGATCACTGTCAGCTTTATTTTCGGTTTCCACAGTAAATGTTTATTGTGTAAGGGGTACGACAAGGAAATAGGCATGTGGGACTGGAGAGAAGCATCGGGTGCAAAGGCAGCTAGAAAACTGAATTGCAGGGGCCGGGGTTTCGCGGAAGAGCCAAGTCCAAAACCTATATATAAGGGGACAGGGCACCCTGCTCCCGAGCTGGATGAAACAAACACATGAAGGGCAAACGAAAACAAATTTCGGCAACTGACATTTGTGGAGAGGGAGGTGCGGTTGAAAGCGGAGTGTCTGTAAGAGCCTTCCCGACGCCGTCTCGGCTCGCTAGTGAGGGCGAGTGGGTCGCGGCAAGGTTGCGGTGGTGATGGTGGTGATGGTGATGCTCAGGCGCCAGGGCTCTCCCGACGACAGTCTTGGACGGCGGCATCAAGCTCGGATCAGGACTGTGAGGCATATTGCTATGGCTGTGGTGCCCGTTAACAGCGAGGTGGTGAACCATCTGTAAGCTTGTCTGTGCTGTTGTCCAGAAGACGTTGGGGATAGGAGTAAAAAGGCGGACTTGGCGATGATGACTCGTTGGATGACTGGAATGGCGTCATAGCCGGTACATGATGTTGCACCTGTTTCCCAAGCAAAACACAGGTACCCACAATGTGATGCGCCACCCAAGATCGAGCAACTACAAGTTTGAATATTCAGCAAAAAAAGTTCAACTCTATATCGCTAACATTTGTTTAAGCTCTCCTTGCTAGCTTGGAAACTCAAAACACTGGCATTGGCCTAGTCTATTGTGACAAACTCATTATGGCTGTCGGAGGCAATTTGCCTATCAATTAATTCAATCTCCTCCGCACCATCAGACTTAATATCATCTCGGGGGTATGGGCTTTTACGATTCTCTGCTCTTCCGTACTTAATCCTGATATGGAAATCCCAGTAGGCCATCCCTTGCCCCCTTGGCCCCCCGTCCAAGCCAACGATTTTACTCCCAAACTTGGGCAAATTTCCGTGATCGTTACTTTCATGCTCGTACTTCTACCTATCCATAATGCTTCCAACTCCCAATAAATCTCAGCGAGGAAGACGCGTGAAGTAGCCAACGCTTTGGAATCTCTAAATTTAAGGAGTTGACGGGTCTAAGCCAGTGATATCGTGGAGGCCCCGAACGTGGACGAGCGGTGCCCTGGACGTATCGGGAGCAGCTCTCAGTTGTCCAGACATGGGAGAGAGAGAAAGAGGAATAACTGTGCAACGTGGGACCGAAGATACCTATAATAAGGTCGCGGACGGAGCATTGTATGCTCGCGTCTGGAGAGAGTATGACGCATCGTAGTATCAAGATCCAAGTGCTTCAAAGCCACCACGATCGCGTTGCGAGCTGTTTCCAAACTAATGTCCTTTTAGAGGTATGGTCGGGCGATTCCTTCGAATGAAAAGCTGTTACAGTCATGTTCTTTTCATATCCGATGTCCCTCTTGACAGCGAGTAGCGTAGCACTCATAAGACAGTTGTAGGGTATGAATGAAAATAATATCCCATATCCTGAACCGTAATACCTCACCGCATTCCTCCACATCCACGCATATTTCCGCCTGCATACCAACCTTTTCACATCTTGAGTGTCAACGTCAGCGCCAACAAACATGCATACGCTGCGATACTCAACGCCGTCAAGACAACCACCACGTTTCCACTCGTCCGAAACTTACGCCTCCTCAAACCATCGGCATCCGCTTCATTGAAGAACTGCCTGTTGCTCTGCTGGCGCTGGAAGAGGCCAATGGTCAACACGCCAGCACCGTAGACGGCAAATAGCGCACCGATGCTGTAGAACTCGGAAGTAAAGATCTTGAGAATGATGAGGGCGAATGAGAATTGCGAGAGGGAGGTACGAATGTAGGCGCCCTCGAAGGTTCGTTGAGCAGCGCGGACTTCGATTAATTCAGCTGGTGTAAGAACCACGGAGCGAGCACGGTGGAGGCCGAGGCGGTAACGGTCTGCGGCACGGCGCTGTAAAGAGCTATCTTAGTTAAATGGAAAAAGAGGGATATTTCGTATAGGCAGAGAGGGTATCACAACGAACCTCGAACATGATGGGTATATTCCGGCAGTGAGTATATTACTTGGCCGGTAGAGTTGCTTTGAACGTCGAAGTTCGCAGTTCGGAGTAGGATGTCACATGGACATGATTAGTAAGTAGTTACTAGTACTTGCGCTGCGAGCAAAGCACTGAAATGCATACCGACAGTTCGATTGCTCGATGCTCGATGTGTGTATGGATTGACGAATATCCCTGTGTGCAGCTGTGATGTTTGTTTAGTGTACCCTCTTTTTCTTTTTCTTTTCTTTTTTCTTTTTTTTATTTTTTTGGTTAACTGGCTGCTTGGTTTCTTCCACTCAACGAGCAGTTCGGTTAAGATTTAACCATCTCCAGTTAAGCTTTTAACTAAAGCACCCGCGTTCATCATCGCTTTTAGCCGATTCCTTGCCCAATCGCTAACCTTGGTTAACCCTGTAACAGCCGACGCGGCGATCTCCCGGCGGCTCCAGCCCAGGTTGCCGCCGCCAGCTCTTGTATCTATATATACATATATGTATCAAGTATTTGCGACAACTCAACGTCTTCTCTTTCAATTGTCCCCACTGCTGTTTCCATTCATGATTCTCTGGTATTTAGTTTCTATTACTGGGCAGATTGTCAAGGTACACCACCATGGGGAACAAGGTCCTGGATGCTGCTGAAGGTAAGCATATTATTATTATCCAATCCATGTCGCCCGCGCTGAAATGGATGTTAACGGCGAGGTAGTGGCCAAGCATAACAGTGCAGACAGCTGCTGGGTCGTGCTGTACGGGAAAGTCTATGATGTTAGTACTTAGACTTTTCACTTTTACCATACGTCTACCTCATTAGATCCGTCCTCTGCCTTGCTTGCGATTTGATGTTTAGATGACAAGGTGTCGCAGATGATGCTATGTTTCCTAATGCTAATTAAAAGTCATGGTGACCGGAAAATTGTGATAGGTAACAGAATTTCTCCAAAAACATCCTGGCGGTGCCCAAATAATTCTCCAGCTCGCTGGTAAAGATGCGACGGATGAATTCGATCCTATCCACCCTTCCGGCACCCTGGAGGATAATCTTAAACCGGAAGCATTTCTGGGCACCATCAATCCGGATACGTTATCTAAGGCAACATCCCATGCTGAACCCGAGAGCAAGATCGAACTGACGCCCAATAAGGCCCCCTCCATGTCCTCGCTTTTAAATCTCGATGACATAGAAGCGGTGGCTAAGAAGCAAATCAGCAAGAAGGCCTGGGCATACTATTACTCTGCCGCAGACGATCTCATATCGAAATCGCTAAACAACACCGTCTACCGCTCCATCCTCCTCCGTCCACGGGTTTTCATCGACTGCACAAAATGCGACCTCTCCACCAACGTTCTTGGCCCATAAACTTGGATTGCCCATTTACGTTTGCCCAGCTGCTATGGCCCGCCTCGCACATCCGGCAGGAGAAGCAGGGATTGCCGCCGCCTGCTTCAAATTCGGCGCGATGCAACTGATCTCCAACAATGTCTTCTCATGACTCCGGAAGAAATCGTACAAAAACGCGACCGA